GCTGAGGTATACAAATAACTGTTTAAAGAGGGAAGAATTCATTATTAAATTTGTTGGTACCTACTGAGCTTTAGACTACTTCCCTCCCTCTCATCCTTAGACTATGGAGTCAGGTAGTTGATTGCAGTTGCTTACAATTAGGTGCTCAGATTATTTGAGGTCCTTTACATGTAGAACCTCTGCACTTACGCTTCTCAGTTCTAAGCATTGAATCTTTCAATAGGTGCTTTTACTTCAATGCTTTTCTAGGTTTTCTAAGAAAAAGAGCTTTATTTACAAGGTTTCCTCCCCCCCTCCCTAAGTCATAATAGAAAAAAATAAAATATTGTTTGAAGTGTCCTTCCTTAGGGTATTTCGCCCCATTCCTATCTGTTATTTCCATACCCTTTAGCAATTGGTGTATCCAGCCAACTCACTTCTACTTCTATCCTGCATTTAATAAGGAATCTGCATTTTGCAGTGTCTTCACTTTTGTTCTGGTGGCTTTTTATCATAATCTCAGTTTGGTTCCCTTGTTTAAGGAGGGCTAAACTTATTTTCAGTAATTTTAAATGTGTATGATGTGCACACATATATTTTTTTCAGTTACCATTGACATAAAATATATTAGTTTCAGGTGTACAACATAGTGATTAGATATTTATATAATTTAAGAAGTGATCACCTCAATAAGTCTAGTACCCGTCTGACACTATACACAGTTATTACAATATTATTGACTATATTCCCTATCCTGTACTTTATGTCCCTGTGACTAATTTTATAACCAGCAGTTTGTACATCTTAATCCCTTCCACTTTTTCACTCATCCCCCTAATTCCCCACTTATTTGGCAATCATTAGTTTTTTTCTCTGTGTCTGTGAGTTTTTTTCCTCTGTATCTGTAAGTTTGTTTCTTTTTTGTTCAATTATTTTGTGGTTTAGATTCCACATATACTAGTAAGTGAAATCATATGGTATTTGTCTTTCTCTTTCTGACTGACTTCATTAGCCTAATACTCTCTAGGTTATAATGTGCATATACTGTATTAAGTTCTCTCATGTTTTTAAAACAAAAGAGTATAGTGTCCTCCTCTGTGGTGGTGAAGTGCTTAAAAAGCCATACAATTCTTTCTTTATCCAGCTTATATCATCCAGGAAACCAAAATACTCTTAGGATCCAAGAGGCTAGCCCAGCCGTGGGCAAACTACGGCCCGCGGGCCGGATCCGGCCCGTTTGAAATGAATAAAACTAAAAAAAAAAAAAAAAGACCGTACCCTTTTATGTAAAGTTTACTTTGAATTTGTATTAGTTCACACAAACACTCCATCCATGCTTTTGTTCCGGCCCTCCAGTCCAGTTTAAGAACCCATTGTGACCCTCGAGTCAAAAAGTTTGCCCACCCCTGGGCTAGCCTAATATATTTTTGTGAACAGTAAGGTAGCCTTGCTTAATTATTAACTAACTCTAAAGTTGATTGGGGACCATTTACACTTGGCTAAAAAACATAGGTTTATGCCTAGGTTCCCTAGTGATCTTAGTCTCTGTAATACTGTAAAACAAGGAATAGTGACCATATTTTCTCTGACAGACTACAGCTTCAGGAATGCTATGCATTGAGCCATTTGAGGGAGGTTGAGGCATTCATCTTGATAGATATGATCAACCCTCATGTCATAGGGGTTATGGTTATAATTTTAAGATATTTAGAAGTCTGATGGGGATTTGTATTACTTTTCCAGGTGGTTAAAGTTGTAATTGTGTATTTAGAATTGGCTTAATTTTGTTATAATAATGAATTAATATTAAAGATTGGCATTTACTTTTTCAAATTAGGTAATAAAGTAGACTTGGAAAAGGAGAGACATGTGTCCATTCAAGAAGCAGAATCGTAAGTGTTATCCCTGCCATCCTCCCAATGACACCCCCTCCTCCCCCAACAATCACTCCCCGGTAGAAGTCTTCCTTTTAGGAGTGTGCTTTACCATTTAGGTATTACTCTAATGCAGTGATGGCGAACCTTTTGAGCTCGGCATGTCAGCATTTTGAAAAGCCCTAACTTAACTCTGGTGCTGTGTCACATATAGAAATTTTTTTTAATGAAATCTTTATTGTTCAGATTATTACATTTGTTCCTCTTTTTTCCCCCCATAGCTCCCCTCCACCCAGTTCCCAACCTACCCTCTGCCCTTACCCCCCCATTGTCCTCATCCATAGGTGCATAATTTTTGTCCAGTCTCTTCCCGCACCCCCTACACCCCTTTGCCCCCCAAGAATAGTGAGTC